CATTGTTGCGGCTCCTCTCTTCCCAGTCTGTCAGTAACGCTCTGTTTAGTTCCTGTCTCTATGAAGCCCCTCCTTCTGTAAAGCGCACTGTGCTCTGATTGGTCGGCTGGAGCTGTGTGTTGTGATTGGTCAAGCGCTTTGAGTGTGTTTGGGAAATGTCCCGCCCCTTACCATAACCACCAGTTTAACACACTACTAACTAACTCAACCAGGCCCCGCCCCTTTATTCTGCGTATTAATTATTATAATGAGGAATATTGTGACGTGTTCCTTCCCGGAAGAAACTCAAGACTACAATGGAGGCGTTTCAGTTTCAACACTGACACTGATATAGAGAATATAGAGAAGAACTTTGTGCTTTGCAGATCTTTTTATTGATGAGTGTATTTATGTGCTGGACGGCTGTTGGTGACCCTATGGTGCTATCCGGACGCTTTTCTCTGGCTCCGTCTGACCCGTATGGTCCACCAGCTGTGCCAAGCTACGCCACGGACCCCCGTCTACACAGAAACACACTTCAGACTCCATGAGCGGAAGTCACACGATGCACATCTGGAATGCAAACACACAAATCTCTCACACAGTTTGACACAGAAGGCTCTGAACGATTGCTGGTGGTCTGATGGAATGTCAACAATGCATGTGTTTTTCCTGTTGCATAGTTTTTATTTTGGTATTCATTCTTCAGAAACAGTGTATAAGCATGTTTGAAAACACGAGAATAGAAGAAATGCTGTACTTTTGGCATGGATGTAGTGGTTCTGACAGGTGGTTTGTGTGCGTTAGATTCACATAGATCTGAACATATGGCAAAGGACCAGACCAGAGGTTAAACAGATTTTCTCAAGCACTGGATGTTATGGGCTGTAAAACATATATCATGTTTTATGTGTGTGTTATGTGTGCATATTTGCACGTCTGTGTGTGTTCGGGATAATAGATTTATAACTTACAGAACCAGAAACATTCCGTATGAATTCTTTTCCTGCAGACGTTGCAAAGTTTAAATATATAGTTAAAATGAAAATTGTCATTGTTTACTCTTTCAGCTTGGCTTCCATGTAAGTCTGTTTTTTGCTTAAAAACAGTCTGAAACATGAACATAAAGATAATTGATGTGTTTTTCGAGTAAGAATTTGATGAAAATCAACTTCAACATCAGCTGGCTCTTTGTTTCTGGTTTGTGTTTGTGATGTCAGAGATCTTTTCGTGTCTGAACCCGCCGACATCATTGAACCCACAACATCAAATTCCCTGCCAGTTTTCTGTTAAGACAATTCCCATTGTGCAAAACCCAGAACAACATTTAAACATCACATTTTCTCAGCACAAACTGCATCTGAAAGTTATGCTTTAGAAGAACAGAAGGACGAAATTTAATTTCTAAGATAAAATCATGTCTTTCACAAATGAAAATGAATGGGGAAAAGGAAAAACTGATTAAAAAAGATTTAAAATACAACAGAGAAAAGTACAAATGACTGGAAATACACTTAAATGTAATGCAATGAAAATGCAGAATGTGAGAAAAGTTACAGTTAAAATGCAATTGAATTACATTTAATTCATTTTAATTTTAAACTAAAAATGTAATGCATGTCAATATTTCTTGTCATGATTTAGTTTTTCATGAGCATTTTCACCCTCTCTGAGCCTCAGAATTAGGCAGGCAAGTATATTTAGTATGTAAATGAGGTCTGTTGTGATTGGCTAACCTCTTTGCAACAGCCGGTTTCCGGAAGTAAAAACTCCATTCATTTACTCCATAGGGAAAGTGATTGTGAGCGACATCTTGTGAACCTTTAAAGACAGACCGACTGTGAGCTACGAGGTTGTTAATCGATGGTATTTGCTTCTAGTGAATCCGTCAGCCTGGATTATTTCAACTTAGTTTTAAAATGATTGTGTTTAATGGCGGAATTCCTAGTGAAAAACTACATTACCCATGATGCTGTGCAGAAAAATACACCAATCAGAGAGTCGAGTCGAGTTCTCTACGCTCTCAAAATACTGAAATATTTGTTTATATACTATAGTTTATATACTATAAAATTAACATTTGTAAATAGGTAGTTTTATATTACTCCATTTTTAATCCGATTCCATTTAGTTCTTTCCCTCATTAAAGCTGTTAAGTTCACAGTCTTATAGCTTTTTTCAAAAACTTTTTTGCTTCAAATCAAAGTTTGTAGTGTTGTGATTTTCCTCGTAGCTGATTGGCTTGGCTCATGGCTTATAATGCTTTATGGAAACTTTTTAAAAATCCCTATGGGAAAAATGAATGGACAAAATGGGGACACTCTCTATTAGTAGCAATAGTGTTAACCATGGAGGAGGTGTTGATTATATAAAAGTTGGCGGTCATATGATTATGAAGTGAATATACTGAGATGAATACTGTGATGGTTTCTAAATTAGCTGTTTTTGTGCTTTAGTTTGAGTAAGTCTTCAGTTTTTTGGGATTAATTAGTTCATTTTCAGTTACACAATGCTCCTAACACTTGCCAGACTTCATTATGTGGACATGACCCCTGACCCCTGACCTCACTGACCCCGCACACCGCCGGTAACACCCTCTCCCTGTGGCAGGTCTGTGGCAGGTCGACCTCGGGTCATGAAAGGGGTCATGACCTCTCGGTGAAGGAATGTTGTTCGTCTCCATTTCCTTGTTGATGTTACAGTCAGGATGTAGATGAATATATGTGAAGGTTGACGTTATGAACTACTGATCTGTCACTCATTTTATTCTCATGGTTGTATATAATGGAAAGAATCGTACATAATTTATGTTTTGCAGGATTGACAGCTGAAGCTTTAACACTTTACAATATTGGTTGTAGACATTAGCCATTAGTTAATGCAATAGTTACATAAACAAATCTACTGTATTTATTGGTTAATGTTAATTTCTAAATTTTACATTAAAATTAAGTTAATATTAATTTAAAAAAAATTGTTTAATTATATTAATAAAATAATATAATACAAATAATAATAACTTTTTCAAAAAAATGTTTGTTGAAATATTTTACATATATTTTTATGCATTTTGCAGACACATTTATCCAAAGCGATTTAAACAAAACAGGAAGAAAAGCAATTCATCAAAGAGCCAACGATATTCCTAATATACAATGCCAGGTTTATATAGAAAGCTAGAAAAGATGAAAAATGCAAAGAAAAAGTGTGTTTTGTTCTCATTAATAATCATTAAGTTTAGTAATTAGCATTTTGAACTAACAATACTGTTTTTTTTCAGTAGTTTATTTCTAATAGTGAGTGATGTAATTTTTTTTAACATATTTTCCATTGCTAACTCATGATAAATAAAGCATTTCATGTCTGTTGGCCGGAAACCTCGATTTTTGGGAATATTTTCTTTTCTTTCATAAATCATTGCTATTGGTCACCCTTTTTTAAAAGAGAATAAACCGAGTAACTCCATTGGATCCTCAAACTGTGTATGTCCGGAATTCACCAAAATTCAGCTTGATTTCAGTAAAATGTTGTCAAATGTCTGACCACATATAAGCCACAGTACCAATCATGACCACAAGGTGTTTCATTATTATTATTATTTTTTAATACCGTTTTTTTTTTTTTATTTCCTGAAAAGTAGGGTTTTTGGAGGTACGAGGTTTCATATTAGAGCTTTGGTTTGGACCATAGCCTAGTCTTAATTTCCATAATGCATTAACTTCTATTTTGAATTGTACTTGTAAAGCATTGTATTTCTACCTTTGCACATCAAACTATAACATATTGATCAGATTTTGCTGTTGTGTACGTGTGTAATGGTGTGATCACGTCCGGCAGGGATTCCACTCACTCATTCATTATGTTTAATTCCCTCCTCCAGCACACATCGCTCGGCTCTTCAGGGGCCAATTTGTTGAGGCGAGGGTTTTATTGAAATAATGTTTTGGGAAACCGACAAACCGATTTTCTCATAAACATCTCCATGTGTTTGAGTGTGAGAGCTGGATGTGTGATGGGAGGTTGTTCAACATCTGCGCTGAAACCTGAAGGAATGGTAAAACCTCTCGCTGTCGCTGTGAGGCTGCTTGGCCACCATTTTTCAGCAATTTCATTTTGTTCCCCTTTTTTGATGAACTTAAGTGGTTTGAGGAAGGGACTGTGCCAATTACATGCCGAAACATCCCTCACCATCCCATTGAGATGATTTGTGTCCACTGGAAAAAAAGAAGCGGTTTTGTTGAACATGGAGAGAAAGCACTTTCTGCTCTTACTACTTTTTCTGGACCACATTTTGAAGGAGAATCTTTGTCTATATCATACTTGTATAGTACTTGTATTTTCTCATACCCAAAATGCATCAAACCTTCTGACATTACAAGCATCAATATGCTCATAAAGTGAAAAGATATGGAAACTGAAAACTTTCTAATGAGCACTTTCCAATGAAAACTCAACCAATGGTCCAGTTTCAGTAGCTTCAACTCAACAATCAAAAACACATTATTGTCAAATTCAGTTACAGTGAAGAACAGCTAAATGTGTCTTTAATTACACACATGATTTACTCATTGGCAGCAGACTGTCATGGGCAAAATCTCTTTTTATTAAGAGCTTTTGAGATGGAAAACTGTGCATGGAAACAAGATATTATGTTTTAGTTTGGCAATGATGTTCCACCAATAAGCGCTTGTTGAGACCTCAGATGACCTATGCAGTGAGTTTGTGAGTCTCTTATGTATCCGGCCCCTATATAAAAAGGTTGGAACTATTATTACAAATAACTCTAGATTTGTGCATTTTCTGAAGACAGCATGCAACATTTGCATAATTCTTTTTGTTGCAATATGTAAGCAAACAATCCTGTCAATTGCAGAGAGGTGAAGTTTCATAACTGGTTTGTATGAATGCGTTCATATGTCTCCAAATCGTAAACATCTGGAAACACATGGAGACGATAGTCCAGATCTGTAATCGATCTGCATTTCAGACTGTAATGTGTGTTTGTTCTCTCCCACTGTCAGACGTGAACGAGTGTGAAGAGACCAATGGAGGCTGTGAAGCTGTGTGCTGTAACACTATCGGCAGCTTCTACTGTAAGTGTCCCGCAGGTCAAGAGCTCAAGGAGGACGGCAGGACCTGCCAGGGTGAGTCCCGTCTGTCCTCTCATGCTGTTTCAGCAAAGCTGCTTTATCTAAAGCTGTTCTGGTCATTCCAGGCTAAAGGCCATTGCACAAGGCCATTGCAGTCCGAAATTCGCGTCCGAAACTTTCGCACGTTAAAAAATAAATACGACCTCACGTTATGTCAATCACGCTTACACACCGCCACCGAAACTTTCGTCCGTCCTAAAAAAAATCGGATCGGGTTCGATTTTATGAGTTTTTTTTCTCATCCGTAGCAAGCAGTTTGAATGGTGTTTTGACAATTCAGAGCCACCGAATCACGAATGCGAAAAAACGCATATGAAAATTTCGGACTCTACAGAGCCTTTAGAGTCGAACTCTATTTCCTGTTTGTTCCATTCAGCTCGGAAATTCAGAATATCGGAATTCTAATTTAGAATCTCATGCAGAAATCTAGAACTCTGATTTGACCAAAATGCAGGATATTCACTATTATTATAAAAGATGCATACTAAGCCTATTAAACGTTTGAGGAGACAGATGTGCAAAGTACAGAGACCCTCTTTGTTGATCATTGCAAAACTGGATTTATTGGACATTATGTCCATTGTCAGATTTTCCAGAAAAAAATGTTGTTCATGTTCATTTAAAGCTGCAGTCCGTTGCTTTTTTTGGGTTAAAAATGATCCAAAATACATATTTGAGAAAATACATAACCAGCCAGTGTTCAAAACTCTCTGCTTGCCGTAGCTCGATTCAAAGCGGTAAGCTTGTAATAATGTTTTTAATTTCAGTGCTGGTGGATTTCCACGGGAGATTCGAGCATGTCTTTGCGTCATTACGTCACATCTGTACACACACATCTGTACACACATATCTGCACACACACATCTGTACACACACATCTGTCCACATAAAGAAGGAGTCTCGGCTAGTAGGCTATGAGTGTGAGGATGTTGGAGGTGGAGATTTATAGCCTTTTCTCACAGCACTTGATATAATTAAACTTATTAATTTGATGGCGGATCCAGAAAGGTTCAAACGACAATCACCAGTGACAACAGATTCACCCGCTGTAAAATGCAAAAAACTTCGTTCGGACTTCGGAGTGGCGACAGAAAAAAAGAGACTGCAACCGGCCCAAGGATAAATATCGGAAGGACATTACATGTAGTCACGCAATGCTGACGTTGAACATTAACAATTTGAGAACAGAGTATAATTTGCACGGTTTTGCGTGATATGATAAGCAATTTTTAGATTTAATCAGCGCGATTTACTGCAATGTCAGAACCAGAACAAAAGTGGATGTTTCTTACTTGTTCAGAAGACATTTTCCGTTGAAAATTATTATGTTGGTCATACTCCCAAAAAGAATAATCTGTGATTCTGAATGCCAGTATCCACACCGGCACGGCGACTGACAGACACACACTCTCCTCAAACACTGTGTTCATCCGCGCTGTGCCGTGTCAAGGGTGTCGAGGCACAACTCACGTAAAGTTGATAATTCCGCGAATGACTGCAATTGCAGATTTCGAACAGAGATGGCGACAAAGAGGAAAACCTGTGGACTGCAGCTTTAACTGTGTGCATTTAATCAGATCCTAAACCTTAAGTCTGAAACCTTGAGGACGATTCCGCAAAATGACACCAGTGGCTGATTGCATTTGCTTAAACTACACCAATCCCCATGAACACAGCAGTTTAACATGTAGCACACGTAGCAGAAGACATGAACTAAAAACATTAGCTGACAGTTGTCATTATGACTTTAAATTATGCCATTTTGACTTGATTGACTGGATGGATGGATGGATGGATAGATAAAACAACAGAATATGTCATTATTTATTCTGCATTATTTATTCTGTTATTTTATGCCACAGTCTAATCACTGGTTAAATCACGTGGCTCTGAAAGTCTCCAAATACACTGGAATTTGGTCAAACTTTAACGCTGGTGTGTGTGTGTAACTGTAATGTGTTTGGCCTCAGGAGACAGTTTCTCTTTCTGGTTCTTCAAATCCACTGAAACATGCCACCTAGGGATTTATTCATCTTTCTGATGTTTCAGATATAAATTGTATTCATCCTACAGATGGTTTAGATCTTATAACTCTTTCATACTAAACCAATTCCTGCTTCACATATTTTATATGTATTTGAATGCCAGAATTCGGTTTGATATGATCACTGCAGGCTTCATGCACAGGTTTATATGACAACACATTGTTTATGTGTTCAGATGATACCGTAATTTACTCATTTGTATTATGTAAAGAAAGAGGATGATCAGGAAAATATTGGACCACAGAATACACAGATTGACCTATCAGAATCAAGCCGGACATCATAATCCTTATATATAACCTCATGGTGTATGTGTATGCCACTCCAAAAAACTCTGTGAAAAAGGGATGTGAAATACATGAGCAAGAGATGCAGACAGTATAAAGAAGGAGAGAGAGAGTGAGAAAGAGTCAGATGAAAGGTATTTCACAGGGAAGGAGGGAATAAAAGCGTGTGTTTCAGTCCTTCCCTCTCAGACGGCTTGAACGTTCATGAGACATCTACTGCTTTTCCAGTCACACATTTATGATTAAATATCTTGTAAATCATGACAGGCTGGCTCATGCTTTGTCTCATTTGTATTGGGGTTCATTTTCATCCAGTTGATGTGGCCTATTATTCTGGCTACTGGCATAATTTGAGACACTGCCATAGGCCACACTGTTTCCATGGATACAACCGATTCATTATGGGATACCAGATACCAGGTGAGAACATTTATTGGTCCATTTAAAGTTGCAGAGGGATCTTCATCGTAAGAAATATAATGGAAAAGGTTTTCCTAAACGTCTAGAAATATTTATATATTTTTTAATTTCTTAGATAATAATTAGATTAGTTTGAGTAATTTTAGTTCTTCAAATTATACTTATTTTACTTAAAATAGTTGCCAAGAAGCCGCATTAATTTTATATCTAGATATTCTAAATATCATTTTTTTTCTTCAGATTTTTTGTTTTAATTATAGTTAACATTAACAAAACAAGTTTTTGTATGCAGATTTGTAAGTAGATTTAATAAAATCAATAAAAAGAAAAAAAGGAAAATAAGTAACTTGGCCAGTTAAAGGTTGTCGAGTCATTTCTACTTAGTTAAAGTTTACTTTGCAATGCTCGGTTTCAAGTACATTTTACTCAAAACAATATAACACTGAATTAAGCCATGCTTTTAAATATGAGTAACGTAGTTCATGCCTGAACACAATACTTAATACGCAACATTCGTGGGATCATTTGAGAGTATGAATGTGTCATTTTGAACTCCAGATGTCACAAAACAGCAAGTTACTAAACCTAACAACAAAAGCAATGACAACAGTGTAAATACAGCTGGAAAACAGTGAAAATGCATCCTTATTAATTATTCATGCCCCAGTGCATGATGGGAATACCAGTATCGGAAAGTTGAGTAGGTTTTACTTAATTTTACAATGTTGATATTAACGCTTTAATTTCTACAAGCTTAAATTGAGTACTAAAATAATATTTACTTTGTTTTTTTTTTAAATTATTGCCTGAACTAACTTATTCGGGTATTTTTTTTCTGTAAAATTTACTTCCCCACAGACTCTTTTTTTATCAGTGTTTTATGGCTAAAATGATTAGCAGAAACCGGTTATTATTTACATGTTTAAATGTCACATCCTTCACAGTTGTCATTATACTAAAATATCTTGTTTACAGTATGTGTTCATCAGTATTTTAGAGACAGAACACCGTCGGGAACTTCCTCTGACTCAGCGAGCCTCGAGGTACATCGATAAACACTATTAAAGTGTTCCAACATATTCAATAGAAGCCAAACCAAATGCTTTCACCAATGTGGGGAAACATTTCTTGGTCATTTAACTAAACCCCAAACCAAACAGCAGCGTAGATGGAAAGTGAGAGCTAGTCTGCCAGCGTTTCTGGCTGGAGATCTTCTGGCACACGCATGAATCAGTGGCTCTCAATCAGCACGCATACTTCCAGTATTACTACTGCGTGTGGGTTACCCTGATCCCAGTGACAGATGAACCACAGCTAACCTCTCAAGAGCCAGGCCAGATAGTGGAGCTAAGTGGGCTGAAGTAATCAGACAAATTGGTGAATATTGTGTTTTGGCTACGGCGAAGGCTATTGGCAACATTAGATGTGCTTTCCAGGCTGTTATTATAACCGTGATTTGCTGAAAGATGCCACATCAGTGGGAAGTTAAATATCAAAAAAGAGACTGTTTGAGAAGTTCAATCAGTTCGAGGCTCGTTTGAAGTTCTTACCATTGGAAAGAATATCGCAATTGAATTGTTTGAAAGAAGCAGGGAGAGCAAATGGAGACTTCTGCATGTTTCGGAAGAGATCGCAGGTTTGTCTCAAACTAGAGCTGCACGATTATTCAGTAAAAGATCACGATCTCAGTTCAAACATCCACGCGATCTTATTCCTAAATGACATCGATTCGGCTATGTCTATTGAACATTTGACAAGTACAATCACAGCGAACATATAGATCTGACTGCCGCTGATCCAGAGAGAGCAGTTCTCATGTTCAGGGATGAAACAGCTTCTCAAACAGGCTTTTCAACCACACAGTATCATTATTTCTGTCTTACAATCATTCAAATGATTACATGCTGGGATTAATTTTAGAGTTTGGATATAAACACTGATGTTAGAGATCAAAATAGAGCAAATCACCTTTTGAAAGAAAATTGATGCTTCAAATAAAGATTGTATCATACATCGTTACACCAGTATGGAGGCGACAAGAGACCGTTAAACAAATGTATTTGTCATTGAATCATTCATTTTAAGAGATTTGTTTACAAATGCTGATTCATCCAGTAATGAAACAAGTGAAGTCATTGAATAATTTTTCAAATTTCGAAATTCAAATTAATTAACCATTTTAAATAGACTTTAGCAATTAACATTTTGTCAGAGCCTCTAGTAAATTACATGTTATTTGGTT